TACACACTGGACCTTTAAGGCATTCTGTTTCCTCAGACAGTTCCAGCTGAACTGACTGGTTTTACAGTAAAGGTTTAGGTTAGGTTGGGTTTTTTGATATAAAATAAAGTGTTAACATATAACACAAGAACAACACTGTCTGTACCATAACGTTATTACAGGAAAGAGGGAGGAGAATGCTCATACCAGCTCTACCACTCCGCTAGGTGGCAGCACCGTAATAAAAACACTCTCACTATCTCAGTGGCACATGCGCACAGGATCCGACTGTCCGGAAATGAAAATAAATTCAGTGACGGAAGAAGAAAGATGGAGGCGGCAGTGTTCATTCTGTCACTGGTGGACTGCTGTGCACTGATTTTCCTCTCGGTCTACTTTGTATCCTTTTCTTCTCTGTGTTTTAAGCTGCTTGTCGAGTTTACCCGCCAAAGCGGCTGGCTAGCAGAAAGCCCTGAAGAATGCCTTTATTTCTGTTAGTATGTTACATTAATGCTAAGTGGCTAACCGGTTAGCCGCCTTGTTACAAGTGTCAGTGACATGCTAGCGTGGATTCAGTTCGCTGGAAGCTTGTTTTAACCGTACGACAGTGTGTGGTCACATGAAGACATAACAGAAAGCTACATGGACAGATTGAAATCAGGACAGCGGGACATAAGAAAGTGTTGTCTTCAGCTGGCTAACTACTGCCACTAAGAGCCGAGATATGGGACTAAATGTTACCTTGTCAGCAAATGTGTCTTTTACAACATTACTATAATAACTGTAATAACTATTTCAACTACTGTCTTCGAACAGTATGCCACTAGCATTTTACATGTACGTGAAGTAGTAAGGTAAACACAGGTGATACAATGGTTTTAATTAATATTCTGTTCCATTCAGTCAAACAGAGTCAGGCTGTTGTTATTGTTGTTATTGTGCATGTTGGCTCACTGGAAATGATCTGATGATCTAAATGGAATTTAGAGCCTTAAAGCTGCAGTAGTTTTGCTGATACTTTCACTATATTCTGACAGAAGTATATGAGAGCGATAATCTGTGAAACAACAATCATCTTGTTTTTTCCACCAATTAATAAGATAAGATAAGATATT